GTGCAGGCAGAATGGTGAAGTCTGGCAGCGATGCCATCAAAAGGCACTTCACAGAGTTAGGTGTCACCGGTAACCCAGACAAAGGGAATAAGAAATGGAAGTGCCTTTACTGCGAGAGGGAAGTGACGGGAACTGCGTCGAGGCTTAGAAAACATTTTGCAGAGGGAAGATGCCACATTTCAAATGCGCGGGGGATATTCACGCAGGCAGAGAGGGAGAGGAGGTTGCAGGGGCGCGCAGAGGCCATTGCGTTGGTGAGGGGGGTAGGAGAGGTGCCAGGAGCTGACACAGGGTCGCAGTCGGGCATCGGAGAAGCGGAGGACCCTCCTGCGAATGAGACACCCATACCTACACCCACATCCATAGAACCGTCGACGTCCAGAACTCGACAGACTGTTTTGCAGGATGGGGTTCATATCGTCACAAAAACGAGGAAACTCAAAGGACGATCGACGACTGGATGACGTACCATGGAATATCATTCAACATGGTACGAAGTCCATACTTCTTGGCCATGATCGATGCTGTGTGTAATGCACACGCATCATTCAAAGTCGCAAGTTTTGAGGAGACACGCACTACACGCGTGTCGATACAGCGTGGGAGGGTTGGTGTCGAGGTGGAAAGGCTGCAGGAGCGGGAATGGCCAACCACCGGATGCATGGTGCAAATGGATGGCTGGACTGATCGACGGCAGAGGCCACACGTAAATATCATGGTGTCCTACCCTGCAGGTGTCGTTTTTTGGAAGTCGGAGTGCTTAGTCAGAAGAGAGAAGGGGGCGGCGGCATATCATGCAATCTTATCAAAGGCGATCAGAGAGATTGGGGAGAAGTCTGTCGTTGGCGTCATAATGGACAATGCGCCGGTATGTGGAGCTGCAGGGAGGATGGTGGAGGCAGAGTTCAAAGGTGTTTTCTGTGTTCCCTGCACGGCTCACAGCGTTGATCTCATCTTGCACGACATCGGGAAGATCGCATGGGTCGATGCTGTTATGAAGAAGGCTGTGGCGATTACGAAATTCTTTATGAACCATCAAAAGGTGCGGGATTTGTTCCAATGGCACTCGAAGGGGAAGGAGCTTGCAAAACCGGGCACCACAAGGTTCGCTACGAACTTCATCATGTTAACTGCATTGGAGAGGTTAAAGAAGGCACTGAAGGACACAATTCGTGACGACGCGTTCGTCGAGACAATAGTGCCCCACGCACAGCGCCCGCTATTGCGTGAGGCGCAGCAGTTGGTGTTTGATGAAGAAGGYTTTTGGAAGCCCATCGAAAAAGTCCAAGCTGCAGCTTTGGACTTTGTCTTGTTGCTGCGCTTCGTTGACGGTCCAGGYCCCACGATCAGCAAGGTATACGCCAGGATGGATCGTGCTGTAGAGAAGCTGCGAGAGAAAGAGTGTCTTTCGCAGGTGCAGAGGGAGGAGATTGAAGAAGCAGTCATGCGCAGGTGGAACACTATGACCAGCCCTTTGCATTGCGCAGCATTGTTTCTGGACCCGGAGTACAAGGGAACTAACCCGCAGCACGACAATGAAATTATGGCGGGGTTCTGGACATGGGTGTACAGCTGGTGCGAAGAGAAGGATTGGCCGAAGGTGGAAGTGGAGTTCAACAACTGGATTGACAAGAAGGGAGCCTTCGGCACACTCAAAGCTTTCGATGCAGCAAGGGATGAGCAGCCGGGAAGATGGTGGAGGCGCTGGTGTTATGAGTTGCGTTTGCTGCAGCCGCAGGCTATCCGCTTGCTCGGGCAAGCGAGTTCCACATCAGGCTGCGAACGGAACTGGAGTCTCTTTGAAGCCATCCATTCGCGGCCTCGAAATTGCCTTGGTGCAGAGACACTGCAAACTCTGGTATTTAACCGCTGGAATATGCACCTGCTGAAAAACATTCATCAAATGCCACGGGAGCAAGACGGCCGCATTGAATGGATGGAGACCCCGTCAGAGAAGGACGTGACAGCGGTTGCAAGGGAGCGGACAGACGAATGGAGGGGCAAGGTGGGGACGGGGGAGGACATAAACGGTCGACAACGAATGGGAAGATGATGATGCCCCTTCAGCGCCTAGGAGAGAGGAATGCGGCAGTGATGACGAAGTGCCTGAAGAGGAAGGCAACACCTGGAGGAAGGAGACCAGAGCAGCGAAGTTCCTCGCGGAGAAAATGTCTGCACAACTGTCAACTCCAGCGATCATGAGTCACGAACATGCAGTGACTCATCGCAAGGATGCAGGGCGTCCTCCTTTGCCTGTGAACCCGGCTCCCAAACGACGGCGCGGCAGGCCCAGCAATGCTGAAAAGGCTGCAAGGGAGAAAGCTGCACAGGCCGCCCGTGAATCTCAAGGCAATGGAGGAGAAGGGGGCGGGGCGGGTGCAGAGGATGATGAT